CCACCTAGTAGTAGTGGTTACCTGATGCATTAAGGGGCGGTGGAGTCATTTAGCTTGTGAAAAGGTAAAAGGCAAAGATTACTACATCTTCTAGGTCTAGGGAAGAGGAAAAGATGGAGGGTGCTTTCACTTTTCTACTGCCTGAACATGTGACCTTGACGTATCTTCTAGGAACCAAGGTGTTTGTGATGCCCAATGGGATGCTGAAAAGTAACCAGCAGCTGGTGGACATAATTGAGAAAGTAAAACCTGAGATTCGGCTGCTGATCGAGAAATGTAATACGGTGAGGCAGAGGCTAGTGACCTATGACTGAACCCTAATACACTTGAACTATGGAATGATGGGTGAGGGGTGGCAGGCTAAGTCTCTTGATTCCTTTGTTTCTGGCATCTGTCCCCAGCAACAAGCATCATGTAATTCGTGGCTTTAGTAGGAAAGACCAAGGTCCTTCTACATGTATTTTGCCTTCTTATCCTCTAGGTGAAAATGTGGGTACAGCTCTTGATTCCCAGAATAGAAGACGGGAACAACTTCGGGGTGTCTATTCAGGTAATGTGCCTGCACTGCAGACTGGGAACTGCTTCCCTGCTTTGTCTGTTTTCTTCGGTGCCGCTGTAGAGTAACGTGACTCACCTGTTCTTCCCCACAGGAGGAAACAGTTGCAGAACTAAGAACTGTTGAGAGTGAAGCTGCATCTTATCTGGACCAGATTTCTAGGTACAGCTGCTTGGGCTGGGCCCAGGAATTGTGTTGATGAAGTGGGAAACATGTTAGGGTCCCCTTCAGCTGCTTCTCTTTTTTCCTCCTTCCAGATATTATATTACAAGAGCCAAATTGGTTTCTAAAATAGCTAAATATCCCCACGTGGTAAGTAGGGGTTTGGGGGTCTGAGGCGGGGTGGAAGGATAGGTAGGGCATTTAGGGGTGAGCTGTCTATGGGCTTTGGGCCTTGGAAGACTAGCCTCCCCTATTCCCATACAGGAGGACTATCGCCGCACTGTCACAGAGATCGATGAGAAAGAATACATCAGCCTCCGTCTCATCATCTCAGAACTGAGGAATCAGTATGTGAGTAAAGTCAGTCCCTGCCCTTAGGTGCCCTGGCTCCTCTTAGTTATGTGGTGATTCCTTAAAAACTGGGTTCAGAATAAAATGAGTGGAATGGCCAGGGTGTTATTCATCAGCTCTGTGTGGAGAACATGAACTCCTTGAGGAGTCTAGCTGGGTGTTTCTGCTCTATCTGGTGTGTGTGTGGTGGTGTGTATACAGCATATGGATGGTTAAGCATGGGTCTTGGAATCAGAAAGATGGCTTTGTAACCAAAGTCCTCATGTAATGAATGATTTGTTTGTTGTACTTTGTTGTTTTTTAGGCAGGGTCTCACTTTGTAGCCCAGGCTGGCCTGGAGCTCACTGTGTTGGTGTAAGACTCAGAGATCCACTTGTCTCCCAAGTGCTGTGATAAAAGATGTGTGCCACCATAACCAGCTGATTTTTTTTTTTTTAATTTAAACCATGTCTGTGTGTCAGTGTGTGGACGTATAAGAATGTATGTACCTGGGGTTATTAGAAGAAGGTGTCAGATTTCCTGGAGCTAGAGTTAGTGGCAATTGGGAGTTGCCTGACATAGGTACTGGGCACTCAGTTCTGGCCCTCTGCAAGAGCAATTCATGTTCCTGGCTGCTGAGCCATCTCTACAGCCTGGAAAGTGATCTTGATCATGTTCAAGCTCAGGCTTTAGTTTCTTTTTCTGAAATGGGAATAGATTAGTGGCTACAAAAAAGATTTTTAGCAGTAAATGAGGCAGCAGCACATTGAAGGACTTCTTGGTGTGGTTAATATTGGAGCAGCTTAGGGAATCTAGGAGGTAGTTTGCCCCCTTTCAGTGGTTGGGTGATAGAGTACGCTGAGTGCTGTAGAGGTGAAATGAGTGATTCCCTGACCTTTTTTTTCCCAGGTCACTCTACATGACATGATCCTGAAGAATATTGAGAAAATCAAACGGCCCCGGAGCAGCAATGCAGAGACACTGTACTGAGGCCGGGGCCAGGGCCAGGGGACTCTGTGAGTCTGGCTCAAGACCGACATTGCCTTGGTTTGTTACATGACTATCGTGATGGGGAAACTGGCTGGAAATAGTAATCACACCTCTCTGTTTTTAGTTAGAGTCTAATGAAACTCTCACCTAGTTCTGTGATGTGTTTACCTCTTTTTTCAGGCCTCAGGAACTCTTGCATCTCCTTCCCCAACCCCCATCCTGTCTTAATTTCTGGAGAACTCCAGGCTTGTGCAAGATACTGGCACAAGGATAACTGGGGGTTTTGTTTTCTTCTTCCCTCCACCCTCCCCTTGTTTTAAGTTTTGTGTTTTCTTCCTTTCAATGATTAGTTGGTTAAAAGCTGGAGGAACTATAGGGAAGGTGTTAGGTGTCTTTTAGGAACTAGGGGAGTGTAGGTGGAAGGGACATCTTCCTGTCACAAGGCCAGTGTCTCTTGCTTATGTGGGACTTTAGGTCCTCCCTACCACAGCTGCCCTGGTGATGCCTTACGGCTTTCCACCTCTGTCTATCCCACCTTGAGCCTGACCATGACGAGGGATACCTAAGGCCTTCAGCTGCACCCCTAGAGCTCCTTTGGATGTTTTTATAACTGGGGTTTTCACATATACATGTGTACGCACGTACACACGCATAGGGACATGTATACATGCTTCTTTCTCCATTATAGAACATAGCCTTCCTTCCTGCACCACTACCCCTCAGCCCCTGTCACACATACAACACCTCAGCAGGTGACAGTTGTCTAGTCATCCACCCAGGCACGTCCCAGGCCCACCCTCTCTTCTGATAATGTAGCCGTTGGTGCCCAGGGTAAGTTGAAGGAGAACCAAGAGCCTAGGAGCAGAGGGCTCATGAAGGCCTTCCCTCTGTGACTCAGGTTCTTTTTGGTGTTATGCAAAAGCTGGCCCTCTGCTCCCCACTTGCCCTTGTCCCAGGCCAGCTTGTGCGTTGGATAGGGTGTGGGCAACTGTGAGGTCCAGAGGCTGCTGCTCCTTGCTGTGCTTTCCCTTTGGGAAATATTTCTCATATTTATAGTATTGTGCTTCCAGGGAAAGCAGTAATTCATGTGTATATGTGTCTGCACATACACATGCGCGCGTGCGTGCGTGTGCGTGCGTGTGTGTGTGTGTGTGTGTGTGTGTGTGTGTGTGTGTGTGTGTGTGTGTAATAATGCTGCGAAGGTCAAACCCATAGAAGAGTTGCCTCTTTCGAATCTTGCAGAGATATCACTTGTTACAGCTTTTGTGTTAACCCCATCAACCCCCAGCTTTTTAAGTGAGAGTTGGTGTCTGCAGTTAACCTGCCAGTGACTCTCAGTGTCTATTTGGCTTTTATTCCTCTGTCTTCCAACTCCCAATCATACTCCACCTGGGATGCATCATTTTCACTCCCAGTATTCTATAGAAAAGGAGTCAGGATGCTTTCTTCCCATGAATAGTGCTCAGTAACAAACCAATTGCATTTTAGTTGGGCAGTACTCCAACCCACCCCTCAGATCCCTTCCAGCTAAACCCCTTCCTCCTCCCACCACGTGTTTCTCAGCTTCCCTTTTTGTTTGATTGTTCTGCTGCCCCTCCTCACCCCACCACCCTTGGATTGTAATGTAAAATTCTTTTACCATGTCAAGAAATTATTAAAAATACAGGTACTTTGACCTCTTTCTAAAGTTGCAGACCCTGGTGCCATACTCTGGTGACTAAGGGACATGGTGGTCATGTGTGAGCATTCAGACTACCCACCTTCATAGGCGGTCTGGCCAACCTGTTGTGTGTACATTTGCTGTTGAACCACTTCTCCATGGTGGCTTGAGTGAAGCAGAACCACAGGAAAGCCTCTCCAGGGATTCCCACTGCCTCTGTCCATCCACTGGGCCCCTGGTTCCTTCCATGATACCCATGAGCTACCAGCAGAGGGTGCTGTGGTTCCGTGTGGGAACATCCCCTCAGGCTTGCCCTGGCCAATCTTCCTATTTCATGAGAATTACTGTCCTCTACATAACGCTTGAATTTCTTGAGGGGACTCTTGGGATTGACTTGAAATGACTTAAAGAGCTCATAGGAGGCTCATGTCCCTCTGAAATAAAATACTCTCCCTTTCCTCCTGGCAAGTAGACTGGTTTCCTGTCAGACTTGTCTGCAGAGGTTTAAGGTCCCCAGCAAGGAAGGGACATTTATCTGTTTTGGGGCCACTGGCAAGCAGCTTCTGCCTGCTTGCCTGTGTGTGATTCGATTTCTCCCCCTCTGTGTAACAGCCCCAGCTGTTCTGGAACTCACTTTGTGCAACAGGCTGGTCTCAAACTCAGACATTCGCCTGCCCGTCCGCCCACTTCTGCCTCCTGAATACAGGGACTAAAGACATGCGTCACCATGCCTGACTGCATTACTACATTTTAATCAAACCCTATAGAGTACTTTTATGTCTTATTTTTTAAGGCAAGTTGTCACTGAGGTTGACCTATAACTCAATGTGTAGCACAGCTGGCCTCCCAACAATCTTCTTGAGTGCTGAGGTTTAGACATACATGACTATGCCGTACTGTGCCTTTATAGGCAAGAAACTGAGGTAGTTTCTTTAAAGCTACACACATGAATGGGTTCATTGTACAAATCTGAACACAAAGCCCAGAACCTCAACCAATATTTTCTCACTGACTGGTTAGAATAAGGCCTGGGACTCACAAGTCAGGCACTGCATTAGGTCCCAGATAGACCTAAGTGTGTAATGCTGAACTAGGTAGTATATCCAAGAACTATTGGTAAAGAAGTCATTCTGCCCAAGAGCTGTTTTATCAATGCTGTGTGACACAGGGAAAGGATTGTGCATCAAAATTGCTGTCAGAACTGTTTAAGGGTTAGTGGAGCATCAGTACCCCGATGCCTCTTGATCGGGTCTAAATGACATGTAAGGTCATAGTGACTGTTAGCAGTTAGAGTTGAGGGAAGAAGCCAGCTGTGCATGTGGAAGGTACATCTTGAGCCAAACCACAGAACAGAAAATTGGAACAGAATTAATATAAAGCAAGACCAAAAGTTTCCTGTCCAGCCCACGGGGTGGAGTAATGTCCATTCCTCTCCATACTGAATATAAGCCTGCTGTGATGTCAGGAACAGAAAAGAATGTCCTTGGGTCTGTTTGCAGCTCAGCATCAGTCATGAATCTCAGGGTGCTGCTGCCCTTTCTAGTGCTCACTCTCCTTACTGTCCTTGCCCTGGTCTATGTCTTGTTGACCAGGCAAGGCAGTTCAGGCCAGCCTCCTCGGTGCCCTGTCATGCCTCCCAGAAGTCATCCCTGGACACACCCTGGTGGGAGCCAGCTATTTGCAGACCTGAACCCTGAGGAGCTAACTGCTGTAATGAGCTTCCTGACCAAGCACCTGGGGCCAGGGCTGGTGGATGCAGCCCAGGCTCTGCCCTCGGACAACTGCGTCTTCTCGGTGGAGTTGCAGCTGCCTGCCAAGGCCTTGGCCCTGGCCCATCTGGACAGAGGGGGGCCCCCACCTCCCCGGGAGGCACTGGCCATCATCTTCTTTGGTGCACAACCCCAACCCAATGTGACTGAGCTGGTGGTGGGGCCCCTGCCTCTCCCTTCCTACATGCGGGATGTGACTGTGGAGCGTCATGGTGGCCCTCTGCCTTATTACCGGCGCCCCAAGCTGGCAGCTGAGTTTGATCAGATTTGGAGGTACTTGGAAGAAGTGGAACTCCCAAAGGCTCCCACCTTTCTGGCTTCTGTCTTGAACTACAATGGCTCCACCTTGGCACCCCTGCATTCTTCTGCTAGTGGCTTCCATTCGGGGGACCGAGCTACCTGGATAGCCCTCTACCACAACATCTCAGGTCTTGGAATATTCCTTCACCCCGTAGGGTTGGAACTACTGCTGGACCACAGAGCCCTGGACCCTACCCACTGGGCGGTCCAGCAGGTCTTCTACCTCGGGCACTACTATGCAGACTTGGCCCAGTTGGAAAGGGAGTTCCAGGCTGGCCGCCTAGAAGTGGTTCAGGTCCCTCTACCCACACCAAATGGGTCTTCCTCCCTGAGGTCTCGAGTCTCTCCAGACCCCCCTCTCCCCCCTCTTCAGTTCTCACCCCAGGGTCCCCAGTACAATGTACAGGGAAACTCAGTGGTATCCCCCCTCTGGACATTTACCTTTGGTCATGGGGTGTTCACTGGCTTAAGACTTTTTGATGTTCGGTTTAAGGGTGAACGTGTGGCTTATGAAGTCAGTGTCCAGGAGTGCCTAACAGTTTATGGTGCTGATTCTCCCAAGACGATGATGATCCGTTACTTGGACAGCAGCTATGGCCTTGGCCAAAACAGCCGAGCCTTGGTTCGAGGGGTGGACTGCCCCTATCAAGCCACCATGATGGATATCCATGTACTAGTAGGCACAGGGGCAGTCCGGCTGCTCCAAGGGGCTGTGTGTGTGTTTGAGGAGGTCCAGGGATTACCCCTTCGAAGGCACCACAATTACATTGAGGGTCATTTCTACGGTGGTTTGGCCAGCTCAGGCCTTGTGGTCAGGTCGGTGTCATCAGTGGGCAACTATGATTACATTTGGGACTTCATATTGTACCCAAATGGGGCTCTCGAAGGGCGTGTGCATGCCACTGGCTATATCAACACAGCTTTCCTGAATGGAGGGACCCAGAGCCTCCTCTTTGGGAACCGTGTCGGGGAGCGAGTGCTGGGAGCAGTACACACACATGCTTTCCACTTCAAACTGGACCTGGATGTGGCAGGTGAGTTCTTGGGCTGTGGCTTGAAGGTTGGGAGTAGGGCACAGGGCAGGAAGCCCCCAGACTGAGCTGCAATCTGAAAGGTTAAGAGGACATCTAACCAGAAGTGGAAGGGAGGATTCATTGAGTGCCACTGCAGTCACAACTGGGTTTCTGGCCAAAGATGAAAAGGGTTCATTTGCCCAGCTCCCACCTTCTGACCCTCCCCTCCCCAGATTAGCAATTGTGAAACATATTGGCTATGCCTAGCTGCCTTAACCTTGAGGGACCCTCTAGAACAGTGAGTTGACCCAGTGGAAGTTAAATGGGGCTAGAGCCAGAACTTGGCTGCTTAGCTGAGGTGGGTGGGGGACACAGACCAGGGCGGAGGTAACTAGATTTCTGAAGAGTTTATAGTAGGAGTAAGGATGCTGTGTTCTGTATATAGGGAGGGGGGATATCAGGATTTGGGGTAGCTTGGCAGTTAGTGCCACTTACTCCATGTGTGGAAGGCTACCCTACCCTGTCATCACCATGGACAGACAGTCCTGTTGTGGCAAGCCTGGGGTAGGCTGGCTGCAAGTCTGGAACTTGCTGTTCCTGGCAGATTCTGTGGAGGAGAGAACACAGACTCATCAAAGAAGTGAAATCCAGCAGACCTCCATTTTACAGATGGGTCGAGCAGTGGCTGCTGCTCAAGGGCAATGCCTGACAAAAGCCTATGTGTGTCTTGCAAAAGATTCTCTTGAGTGTGATGCCCTGGCATGTGTGCCTTGCAAACTATTCTTGTGCTTGTGGGGTTTTGGTTGGGAGTGGTAGGGGAACTAAGCCTAACGTAGCCATAGGTTATAACCTAACATACTTGGACTATGAAGCTCCAATTGGAAAGTTCTCAACATCTTTGGGCATTAGAAAGCCTGCTACCAGATACTAGCTTTCTGGTATGTGTCTCATGGTCACACTCAAAGGAAGAGAATGTCCTGACCCTGGAGGACATGGTGATTGATTCAGTGCTGTGTTGTGTGATGGAGGGTTTGGATGAATGCTATAGGATTTCAAAGCTCCTTGGGGATGGAAAGCTATGGAGCTTGCTTTTGAGAGACATTGGCAGGAGTACCCCCTATGCTAAGAGAGTAGAGTCCTAGGGCTGGGAGGAATATGCAAGGACTGTGGAAGAGAAGCGTTTTCTGGATCACTTCAAGCCTCTTTCAGAGTCACAGGAATGTTTCACCCAGCGTGTATGCTTGTCCATGTATTAAGCATAGCCATATGACAGTGTTAGGTCTGCGCTAGAAATTCAGAAGGTGAGAATCGGAAGCAAACTGTGTTAGGGTCTATTGGGTAGGCTGATGTTAATAGAGCCTTCTGTGTTGTGGCTGTCTGCAGGAATCTCTAGTCCTAGGTGGCTGCCAAGTGGTTTGTTCATTTAAGCCTGCATCTCACTGTAGAGTAGACTAGCTTCGGACACTCTTTCTTTTTTTGTTTTTTGGTTTTTTTTTTTTTTTTTTTTTTTTAAAGACAGGGTCTCACTGTGTAGCTCTCTATGTAGATCAGCCCGGCCTTAACTTTGCAGTCATTCTCTGCCTCTGCCTTCCAGGTACTGGATTGCAGGTCTGTGCCACTGTGCTTAGCAATGCTGAGCTCTTTAAATATAGCTAGTGTGGCCTGAGAACTGAATTTTCAATATATGTAGCCATACTTGACTAATGTTATCCTATTGAGATGCAGGGTTGGAAGCATCAGGCTAGCACTTGCCCAAGCCTATGACTCCCAGCACAGGGCACTCTCTGTTGCCTTTGGTCAGGCCAGGAATATCAGGCATCAAGAGACGATCAAGGAACTTCAAGCAACTTCACCCCAGTGTAGAACTCTCCCTTTCCTCATCCTGACAGGTTTGAAAAACTGGGTGGTAGCTGAAGATCCAGTGTTTGAGCCTGTAGCAGCCCCCTGGAACCCAGAGCATCAGCTGCAGCGCCTGCAGCTGACCAGGCAGGTCTTGAGCAGGGAGGACCTGGCTGCATTTTCCTTGGGGAGCCCCCTTCCTCGATACGTTTACCTGGCTTCCAACCAGACCAATGCCTGGGGCCACCAGCGAGGGTACCGAATCCAGATCCACAGCCCTCGTGGTGTACATGTACCTTTGGAGAGTGACATGGAAAAGGCTCTCAGCTGGGGGAGGTGAGGAGGGCCCTGGGAATGGGTGGGAGGGAAGGACTTGTACCCCAGCAACACTCACAGTCCCTGGACCGGCCTTCAGATTCAAGTACATAGGGGACGGAAAAATGGACTCAGAATATGATCAGAGGGACTTGTCAAGCTTTGCTTTTTTCCAACCTCACCTTCCTACAATTCTTGGCCAGATACCAGCTTGTGGTGACCCAGAGGAAGGAGGAGGAGTGCCAGAGCAGCAGCATCTATTACCAGAGTGACATGCTGACCCCGAAGGTGGCCTTTGCTGACTTCATCAACAATGAAACTCTCCTAGGAGAGGTTGGTGGCTTCAGGGGTAGAGGAGAAGGCCTTCACTTTTCCTGGCATTTTGGCTGTTCAGCATCCACCCAACAAAGACCATCCTAACAGGGAGAAGTCAGTCATGACACCTGCACCCTGCCCAGCTCCTTACACAGGTCATGAGGTGTTCTGTGTAGCAATATGGCTGGCAGAGGCAGAAGCCAGGCTGAGGCCGGAGGGTGAGAAACTGCAGCTAAGAGACTTTTGGCCTCTAAAGGCCTCCCGCTTTTCCCTCCTGCAGGATCTAGTGGCTTGGGTGACAGCCAGTTTCCTGCACATCCCCCATGCTGAGGACATCCCCAACACAGTGACTGTGGGGAACAGCGTGGGCTTCCTGCTCCAACCCAACAATTTCTTCGATGAAGATCCCTCCATTTTCTCCCCTGGCAGCATCTACTTTGAGAGGGACCAGGATGCGGGGCTCTGCAGTGTCAACCCTGTGGCCTGTACCCCACAGCTGGCAGCTTGTGTCCCCAACTTGCCCTCCTTTTCCTATGAAGGCTTATAGGCCTGAGGATGGGGTAAGACGCCAGGGGCCCTGGGAGAGAGATGCATGTACCTCCTCTGTTCTTCTATATCCTGTGTTTGTATCCCCTACCCCACCCCCACCCCCCACCCCCAGGTCCCTGCCCTCTGTTCTTTGGAAAACAGCCTTTTCCCCCACTGAATCCCTAGATTTCCTCATCTGGGTTGATTCTTGCCTTCTGTCTGTTTTGTTTGTTCTTTTTGAGACAGGGTCTTTCTATGTAGCCCTGGCTGTCCTGGAACTTTCCTTGTTGACCAAACTGACTTCAACTTGCAGAGATCTGACTGCCTCTGCCTCTGGACTGCTGGGATTGAAGACAAGCACCACTACTTCTGGCCTCTGCTAGTTATTTAAGTAATAATTTATTTAAAAATGTTTTTGGAATACGGAAATAAAATATGCCACAAATACTACCATTTCAAAACTCGTGGGGGTTCACATTATACCAGCCTTTATCTTAAAAAGAATGGTTGTTCCCAGCACTCGGGAGGCCGAGGCAGGCAGATGTATGTGAATTCATGGCCAGCCTGGTCTACAGAGTTAGTTCCAGGACAGGCTCCAAAAGCAATACAGAGAAACCCTGTCTTGAAATACAAACAAACAAACAAAATAAGGTTTTGTGTAATTGATAATAAAATGGTTTGCAAAAATTTTACTTGAGATTATTCTATTTGACTTTTTAAAGCATGCAGAATTCCCAGGAGAATTAAGAACTCTAGCCAAGGAAATTTAGCAACAGAAACATCCTCAGGGAGGGATGGTAGATCTGGCCAAGAATGTTTCTTGGGAAAGGCTGGAAGTGGGGGTTTCCTTGGCAAAACATTTCACAGCAACAGCAGAGTAAGTAAGCACCTGGGCATGGAAAGGTGGGAGTTGGGGGAGAACTTGGTCTGAGGAGCATGGGGTTATGCGGCAGACCCCACTCGTTTTGGTAGCAGGTCTCCACTCACAGGCTGGATCCCTCCCCCTTCTCTTAACCCAAACCCTGACCCAGAGAGCAGAGTCTGATTTGGAAGCTGGAGGACAAAGCCATGTAAGGTCTGTGCATATCACTGCAGCCAGCTCAGACCCGCCTCCCAACTCTGACTGCAGCCTCCCTGCTCCCCACCCTCAGCAAAAGCATCAGAATACAAGAAGCTCTGCTAGCACCCAGACTCTTAGCCAAGAGGGCTTTATTGCTGATAGAAGCCTGTCCTTCTTCAAGGAAGGATGACCCAGAAGACCACCCTGGTGCTGCTTGCTCTGGCTGTCATCACCATCTTTGCCTTGGTGTGTGTCTTGTTAGCTGGTAGGAGTGGAGATGGGGGTGGACTGAGCCAACCTCCCCAATGCCCCTCCATTCCTCCTACTGCCCAACCCTGGACACACCCTGGCGGGAGCCAGCTATTTACAGACCTGAACCCTGAGGAGCTAACAGCTGTGATGAGCTTCCTGACCAAGCACCTAGGGCCAGGGCTGGTGGATGCAGCCCAGGCTCTGCCCTCGGACAACTGCGTCTTCTCGGTGGAGTTGCAGCTGCCTGCCAAGGCCTTGGCCCTGGCCCATCTGGACAGAGGGGGGCGCCCACCTCCCCGGGAGGCGCTGGCCATCATCTTCTTTGGTGCACAACCCCAACCCAATGTGACTGAGCTGGTGGTGGGGCCCCTGCCTCTCCCTTCCTACATGCGGGATGTGACTGTGGAGCGTCATGGTGGCCCTCTGCCTTATTACCGACGTCCTGTGCTAGCCAAAGAGTATAGTGATATCGACCAGATGATCATCCACAAAGAGCTGCGTCATGTTTCTGGGCTCCTTCATCATTGTTGCTTCTACAAACACGGTGGACACAACCTGCTAACAATGACGACAGCCCCTCGTGGTCTGCAGTCGGGGGACCGAGTCACCTGGTTTGGCCTGTACTACAACCTCTCAGGGGCTGGGTTTTACCTACATCCTATTGGCTTGGAGCTCCTGGTGAACCACAAGGCCCTGAACCCGGACATGTGGACCATCCAGAAAGTGTTCTATCAAGGCCGCTACTTTGATAGTCTGGCTCAGCTGGAGGACCACTTTGAGTCTGGCCAGCTAAATGTGGTGTTGGTACCAGACAATGGTACAGGTGGGTCCTGGTCCCTAAAACCTCCAGTGCCACCAGGCCCAGCGCCTCCTTTGCAGTTCCATCCGCAGGGACCCCGCTTTAGTGTCCAGGGATATCAAGTGGCCTCTTCACTGTGGACTTTCTCTTTTGGCCTTGGAGCTTTCAATGGCCCAAGGGTCTTTGATGTCCGCTTTAAAGGGGAGAGGGTGGCCTATGAAATTAGTGTCCAGGAGGCCATCGCCCTGTATGGGGGCAATTCCCCAGCAGCAATGCTTACCTGCTATATGGACGGTAACTTTGGCATTGGCAAATACTCTACCCCCCTGACCCGTGGGGTGGACTGTCCTTACCTTGCCACCTACTTGGACTGGCATTTCCTTCTGGAATCTCAGACCCCCAAGACACTACGTGATGCGTTTTGTGTGTTTGAACACAACCAGGGCCTCCCACTACGGCGACACCACTCAGATTTCTACTCCCACTATTTTGGGGGTGTTGTGGAGACAGTGCTCGTGGTTAGATCCGTGTCTACCCTGCTCAATTATGACTATGTGTGGGACATGATCTTCCACCCCAACGGGGCCATAGAAGTCAAATTCCATGCCACAGGCTACATCAGCTCTGCGTTCTTCTTCGGTGCTGGTGAAAAGTTTGGGAACCGAGTTGCAGAGCACACACTGGGCACAGTACACACCCACAGTGCTCACTTCAAAGTGGACCTGGATGTGGCAGGTAAGAGAGCCCAAGGGAGAGCAGGGTCTTCCAGGAGGGGAATAAATGGCATCCTGTCTTGGATTTTATGGTGGTTATTCACAAAAGGAAGATTTGGGGTTCCATGGAGAGAGATGGCAGCTAGGTTTTATTTGGATCTTAGCTCCCTAGCTGGGTGCAAAGCTGACAGCTTCTGTACTTGTGACCTCCTTAGGAAATTTTGGAAAATGGATAAACTCAAGGAGAAGGCAGGATCTGGTTTCACAGAGCCCTTGAGCTCACACGGGCCTCTGTTCAAGCCAGCAGCTGTTTGCTTTTCCAGCTCAGCTCTGTCCGGCCTGTGATCTGTGATGCTGCAGTGTTGGCAGTGCCTGGGTTTGTTGAGTCCTTGGATATGCAAGCCAGGCGCGGAGCAACTGCTCCCCTCCATTTCTTTGGGAGTCGGGCCCTCCTCTGCCCTGATTTTTCATCTCTTTTTGGACACCATTCCCTTCAGTGCAAGGGTATAGCAGACCATGCAGAGAGTTCCAGGAGGCTCCCAGAGTTTGTGGTAACAGAGACAGGCAAGGCTCCATGATTTTCTAAAGATCATCTTTTTCTTTTCTCTTCCCTGCATTGAGTCATCACCTGACATTTTTCTTCCTGTTCTGAATATGGAATATCTCAGAGCCACATTGTTTCCACTCCTACTTTTTTGTGGGTGGGGGGGTGGGGTTGGTGAGACAAGGTTTCTCTTTGTAGCTCTGGATGACCTGGAACTGGCTCTTTACCAGGCTGGCCTCGAACTCACAGAGATCTGCCTACCTCTGCCTACCTCTGCCTCCCAAGTGCTGGGATTAAAGGCGTGTGCCACCACTGCCCAGCCGTCAGTCTACTCTTGATGCTTTTAGTTCCAGGGTCCTCTCTGTACAGCGCTGTCCCACTCAGGCCAGCCTGCTGCTTCTGCAGCTGCTGACTTCCCAGCACTCACAGGGTGTCACTTGCAGAAGGATCTCCCTTCTAACAGCTCTGACCACCCTGAGAGTCTCCCCAGTGTTTTGCTGTAGCTATGCTCGCATGTTCCCGATCCTGGGCACATAGCCTACAGCACTTCTGTGCTAACTCACGCTTTACTGCTACCTAGAAGGGCCTTCCCGGACATTTCTTTTGATGATATCTTTTAAGGGTAGACAGAAATGGTGTCCTGGGGGTTCGGGAAGTCCTGTCCCTGCCTACACCTATATTCCTGGAATGCTGACCCGCCTCTCTCCCAGGCCTTGTTACCCTACAGGACTGGCCTGTAGGATTCTCTGACTCCTGTGAGTCTGTGAGAACCTGAGGGGAATGATGGTTTATTCAGCTTTGTCCTCAAAGATAAGTGCAGGCCACTCCACTAAATTAAAAAAAAAAAGAAAGAAAGAAAGAAAGAAAGAAAGAAAAGAAAAGAAAAGAAAAGAAAAGAAAAGAAAAAGAAAGAAAGAAAGAGGAAGGGATGGAGGGAGGGAGGGAGAGGAAGGAAAGAGAGAGAGAGGCCAAAGCAGGCTCATCTATGAGTTCAAGGCCAGCCTGATCTACAGAGTGAGTTCCAGGACAGGCAGGGCTACAAAGAGAAAACCTGTCTCAAAAAACCAAAACCAAGTGTTACAATCAGTTTTCCTGCCAGCCTGGTCTCACTGCCAGGCCAGCCCCAAATAATACACAGAGACGCTGTATTAGATATAAAGCTGTTGGCCTGTTACTAGCGTTTCTTATGGACTTGCTCCTCTTTTTTTTTTTTTTTTTTTTTTTTTTTTTTTTTTTGTTAATACTTTTTCTTTTTTCAAGGGTACCTCCTACTTTCTCTTTTAAGAGGTTCAATGTGGCTGGATTGATGTTGAGGTCTTTGATCCATTTGGACTTGAGTTTTGTGCATGGCGACAGACATGGGTCTATCTGCAGTCTTCTTTTTTTTGTTTATTTTTATTTTATTTTATTTTATTTTTTATTTTTGTAAGACAGGGTTTCTCTATGTAACTGCCTTGGCTGTCCTGGAACTCACTCTGTCAACCAGGCTGGCCTTGAACTCACAGAGATCTGCTTGACTCTACCTCCCGAGAGCTGGGACTAAAGGCATGCGCCACTACTGCCCAGCTGGCTAGCTCTGCCTTAAATATTAACCTATTTCTATTAATCTAAGTGTTCCCACGTAGTCTTATCTTACCAGAGAGAGGGTCTGGACCTCTGTTCTCTCAAGTCTCTACATGTTGAATCTTCTCCTACCTCTCCCCGAATCCTCCTTGTCTCCTAGTCCCACCTATCTTGCTTTCCTATTGGCCAACGGAGCTTTATTCATTAACCAATATGAAAAACATATTTACAGAATGACATCTCCCATCATCCAAACAAACAAACAAAAGGTTTGCCTTTTGTTTTTACTTACATGCCTTTGGGCATGTGCACATGAGTTGTACATGCCACTGCAAACCAGAGGTGTTGGATCCCCCTGGAACTGGAATTCCAGGCTCTTGTGAGTGACCGAATATGGATGCTGGGAGACAAACTCCAGTCCTGTGGAAAGGCAGTATGCACTCTTAACTGCTGAGCCATATCTCTAAGGCCTGGATATTTCAATTTATAGATTATTAGCTTTGCCTGAATTATTGGGGAGATGTTGGGACAGGAAGGGAAGCAAAGAACCCAGTCAATCCTGGGCTGCTGTTTGGTCTCCACTCTGAAGCCAGGAGGATGCCAGAAATGTCAAGAATGGTTCAATGACTAGTCCTTACACTCTTTACACAGGGCTGAAGAACTGGGCATGGGCAGAGGACATGGCTTTTGTCCCCACGAACATATCTTGGCGCCCTGAGTACCAGATACAAAGGCTGCAGGTGACTCGCAAGCTGCTGGAGACAGAGGAGGAGGCTGCTTTCCCCCTGGGCAGTGCCACCCCACGCTACCTGTACTTGGCCAGTAACCACAGCAACAAATGGGGTCATAGGCGAGGCTACCGCATCCAAGTATTCAGCTTTGCTGGGGAGCCACTGCCTCAGAAAAGCCCCATCGAGAAAGCCTTCAGTTGGGGAAGGTGAGTGGCAGGTGATCAAAGAGGGCTGGGAAGGTGTGCCCTGGGGTGGGGACCCCTGGAAACAGGTCATACTGTTCCAAACATTGCCTGTGCTGGGCACAAGGGGTGCAGTTGGGGTATCATTTCCCCTTGGAGGACGAAAGCCAGGGAAGGGGTCTTTTTTGTTCAGGGTGGGTTGTACTGTGAAATGGCAGAGGTGTGACATGACCCTCCAGTATGGTATAGGGATTTCACAGCCTGGTGTTGCTGTGTGAATACATATGGAAGCTAGTCAGAGCACAGGGCTTACTCCCATTATAGATGGGCATCATGATGGGCTTAGTGACCATGGAGACCCAAGCAGTATCCTTCTAGGTACCACTTTGCTGTGACCCAGAGGAAGGAGGAGGAGCCTAGTAGCACTAGCATCTTCAACCAGAATGACCCGTGGACCCCCACTGTGGATTTCGCTGACTTCATCAGTAATGAGACCATTGCTGGAGAGGTGAGCTGATGATGGAGTAAACAGACATAGATGGGGTACAAGGATGAGCTTCACCTTCTCACGGGAGGGGGGGTTCCTGAAAACCATCTGAGCTCCTCAGAAGAGGAGCTGACTCTTGCCTTTTACAGCACTGTGGGTGTAATCATTACCTCTAGAGCAATGGTTCTCAACCTTCCTAATGCTGCGACCCTTTAGTGCAGTTCTTCATGGTGTGGTGACCCCCGGACCATAAAATTATTTCATTGCTACTTCATAACTGTGATTTGCTACTGTTATGAATCATTATGTAAATACCTAGTATGCAGGATTACTGATATGTGACCCCCAAAGGGGTCATGACCACAGCTTCCATTCTTTCCTCGAAGGGTGCATTCTACACATGTCAACCTGCTCCCACCTTCTAAGGCCCGAATGTCCCTGTTCCACAGTTCTTCCCTAAGCCACACTTTGGGAGCTCTTAGAGAATTAGGAAAGAGAAGGACAGGTAGCCTGCAGTGACCACCTCTGGGGTAAGTAAGCAAAAGGCCTTGTGATGGGGGACGTCGGAGATGGAGGTGTAAGCCAGTCTCAGGCAGCCATTGTTCCCCAAATGGAATGAGCTATTTATGTTTTCACTTCTGGGACCTCCAAAGGAGATGCTGTTTAAAGATTCAAGATCTATGGCCTCCTGAACAGGCTGCTGCGTAGGGAGGCTGTGTCTAGCCAACCTAACCATCCTCTGTTTCTCTCTCCTGCTAGGACTTGGTAGCCTGGGTGACAGCCGGTTTTTTGCACATCCCACACGCAGAAGACATTCCCAACACGGTGACTGTGGGGAATGGGGTGGGTTTCTTCCTCCGACCCTACAACTTTTTTGATGAGGACCCCTCCTTCTACTCTGCTGATTCTATCTATTTCCGGGAGGGCCAGGATGCCAGTGCCTGTGAGGTCAACCCTCTGGCTTGCCTGTCCCAGACTGCCACCTGTACCCCTGACCTCCCTGCCTTCTCCCATGGAGGCTTTACTCACAAATAAGTGTCCCCTGGATGGGCAGTCTAGCTGGGGTTCCTGGGGCAGAGCTGGGGAGTAGAGCAACAGCTGGCGGTGCACAGGGCAGTCTGGTTCTCTCTTCTGTCCTCACTCACATCTCTCAAGTTCCCTCTTTCTTCTGCTGCCCTCTTTGTAATTCCCTCTCGGCCTGGAGCAACCTGAGCCCATGACGCCTGACGCCTGATGCACAGGACAGGGACAGGGCTTTGTTGATCTTGGCTGTGCTGAGTTCCTATCTTGGGAAAAGAGTAGCCTGTCTGGAGTGATGGCTATGGGTTTTTTCCAGATGGTTCTTTTTTTTTTTTTTTTTTTAAATCCTCTGGCTTTTATTAACAATTTTTATAGTCACTTTGAGGACTCAGAAATGAGGATAATTCTTTAGCGACTCCAAAGCAGAGTCTCCCTGAGTCTTGAACATCTACAGATGAGCTGAAAGGGACTCCTGTACACAACTGCTTTCACTTAAGCCTCTCTTCTCTCCTTCCTCTTTCTTGCCCACACCTCCTGGAGTTCCTGCTTGCTTTTACATTCTAGGATTTCCCACTCGGTCCAAAAGGGATGTCCATCCTTTGTGTTCTCTCGCCCTCATTTCTTAACTACAGTCCCTTTTCCTGGTCCCGAGTCTGTGGAAGTCTCAGAGATGCAATGGGACGTCTTACTGGAAAGGACCAAGCTTGTCTGTCAACCTAACATCTATCACATGCCAAAAGTAGGAATTGTCCCTGCTACAGCCCTGCTTTGCACTCTCTACAAGAAGATGGTCAGAGGGACAACGGGTGGCTTGGAGTTGCTGTAATTATAACAACTGGTTATTTTTATATTTCACGGCTCTGAGTGACACAGCCTCTGTGTCCTGCAGTAGCCAGTTTGAGACAGTGGAGTAGGAACCATGTGAGGGCATCAAAGGCGAGAAGGGGCAAGCCCTGGGGCTCCATGCCCAAAACAAGGGCTGTCCAATCAGAAGCAGGCAAGCAAACAAGTCCTATAGAGAGGGGCATGGCTTGGTGTGACCTACTTCAGGGTTTCCCATCACTGCTTGGCTTTCCTGAGGTCTGGACAGGGGATGGTACAAAGTAACACCAAGTGACTGGAAACAAGTTCTATCATTCCCGAGCACACTGACCAGGCCAGGCCCATTGAGACACAGTCTTACAGTGCAATCCAACTAAGCTAAAAACTGTTGTATGTCATTACACGTTGCTAGAAGTAACTGTCAAGGGGAAAGGGCATGTAGAAATGTTTGTAGTTCATTCCCTGCCTGTGTTTTTAAAGGAAGGAGACTATAGAGGGATGTGATAGCACACAGCTGCAATCCTAGACTCCATGTTGGGGCTGGACTGAGCTACACAGTGAGACCTTGTCTCACAAAACCAAGGGCTAGAAATGTGACTCTGTGGTAGAGCACCCGAGGCACAATTTTTACATATATATATATATATATATATATATATATATATATATATATTTGCCCATCGTGTACAAGGTCTTGGGTTGAATTCTCAGCACCATTTAAAAGGCAAGAAAGGCACTGGAGAGGTGGCTCAGTGGTAAAGAGTGCACACACTGCTCTTGCAGGGGACCCAGGTTTGAATCCCAGCATTCATATTAAATGCTCACAACTACCTGTGACTCGCGCTCTGGGAGGCACAATGTCCTTTGCATGGACACCTATACATATGCGCATACCCACCACAGATGCATATATGTAAATAAAAAGACAAAAGAAAAGTGAAAAATGAGGATGAAAGTATATATTTGTCTATTTCTGCACTGACTACCTATGGGGAGGAAGATGGGTGAGTGTGGAAATTGGGTACTGCCTGCCATTCAGAATACCCTGAATTTTGAACCATGTGACTATATTGCTTCATTAAAATAAATGGGTCCAAGCCAGGTGGTGTTGGTTCTGCCTTTAATCCCAGCACTCTAGGCAGAGGCAGGGGGATCTCTGTGAGTATGAGGCCAGCCTGGTCTACTGAGCAAGTTCCAGGACAGCCTCCAACACTACAGAGAAACCCTGTTTCAAAAAATAAAATAAGTTGGTCTAAACATGAATTGTCCTTTTTCTCTTCCTTCCTTCCTTCCTTTTTTTTTTTTTTTTTTTTTTTTTTTTTGTTTGTTTTTTCTTTTTCAAAGCATGCTTTGTGTGGTGTGAAAGTGGCTAGTCCAAGTTCTTGAGTCCTAAAGTAGATGGCCTGTGGGACAGCCCCTGCCTTGCCTTTCTTGCATTAATTCTGAGGAATTGTTAAACTCCAGTCAATAGCTGAAATTTCCATTGTCTCTCTCAGAGAAGGGGATAATGAGAAGCTGTGGAAATATAGGCTTTTGCCTGGCCAGATCCCAGGCTGGACCAGGAGGTGAAGTGCCTGGAACAATTTTGGGTACTGCTCAGTTTCGGAACAGACAAGACATGTTCAAGAGCTCACACCATGGAACCTTTGCCTCCTTCCTTCTCTGCCTACCCCAACCTTCCATTCTCCCATAGGTGGATGTGAAATTATGGATTGGGAAGGAAGGAGTCAGTGGATGGAGAGAAAACAAATTCCAAAGAGCAGGGAGGCAGAGGCAGAAGGATCTCTATGAGTTCAAGGTCAGCCTGATCTACAAAGCTACACAGAAAAAACTTGTCTGGGATGGGGGGTAGAGGGGGGGAAGAGCCACTGTCCTAGAGGATGGGATGTCTAAGTTGTTCTTACAGAGAAATAGAAGTTGCCTGGGGTAGAGGAATGAGAGTGTGGAGAGGCTCCAGGACAGAGAACAGCATGTTCATTTGCTGATCAAAGAGAGAGCCTCTGCACCAATCAATCCTCTTTCCTGGAGGCCGATTTCCCAGTAAACAGCTTGGCCATCTGTGTGCACTTACACGGTGTATAGAATGGCTAGAAAACCAAGAAATGCATAAACCTTGGAAAGTGGGGAGGATTTCTAGCCCCTTTTTAAAAAATTTTATTTTGACAGGTTCTTACTATATAGCCCTGGATGGACCACAACTTACTATGTAGAGCAGTCTGGCCTTGAACTTACAGAGATCCTCCTGCCTCTGTCTGGTTGAGTGCCAATTGAAGGCGGGGTTTAAATGAGTTCACCAAACCCAAGATAAATGGTAAATAGGTGTCTTACTTACATAGGTAACAGTAAGTAACTGTCATGGCGTCCCTGCTCGAAGGATGCAGACCCTGCCTCTCCGATGCTCTCTGTGACCCAAGGCGCTCCCGTCCCCAGCTCCTCTACCTTAAACAGGTCACATCTACACCTAATGCCACATCCTTTGGGCATGGCCATTGTTATAGGTTCACAGACAAGATGCAGATACATTAGCCTCTGAGAGCTGGGATTAAATGTGTGCACCATTATGCCTATCAGATGCTTTTCTTTTTGTTTATTCTCAGCTCCCCTGCCTGTGGAGGCAAAGTCTCCATTTCAGCTCCTTGGTATATCCCCACTGTTTTCTTTCTGTATCTAGCTATCTAGCTATCTATCCATCTAGTTCTTTTGATAAAAGGTCTCAGTATGTAGCTCAGAGTGCCCTTGCTTCCTGCCATGATGATAATGGACTAAACCTATGAACTGTAATGGATCCACCTCAGTTAAGTGTTTTGCTTTATCAGAGTTGCAGTGGTCCTGGTGTCTCTTCATAGCAATAGAAACCCTAACTAAGACAGAGGACATGTCGCTAATTTTCCCTGTTGCTGGGATAAAATAACCTGAAGAAGAGGTGTTAATCCCACTGGGCAAGCATGAAAAGACTACTGCAATTTTAATTACAAATTAATTAATTAATTAATAAAGCTTGACAAACTTGCAACAAGCTTTATTAAATACTGGCCAGGATGATGGACACTGGCTGGGCCCATACTCTGGATTCCCAAGGTATGGCTCTGAACTACATTACACAGGGGCTTATAAAGGCAAAACCCACAAGGCTACATACTTCCCACCTTCATCCAGTTGGGGGCAAGCATAAATCCTGACTTACTTCCTGTCTATGTACCTCCTGCCTACCAAGTGGGGCTTACATGTTAGAGGCGTTTTTGTTTTATAGATCTTTGAAGCACAGTAATTTAAACTTAAAACACAACTTTAACCATCACAGTGACTCAAAAAAGGGAAGGGTTTGTCTTCAGGGTGTGGTCCATGATGGCAGAGATGTTAGCACTGCAGGAGCTGGAAAGCTGCTGGTCACATGGCATCCATTATCAGAAGGCAGGGAGGGCAGAATGAATGCTCCCTCCCCATTTTCTGTAGCTCTAACCCAGGGAATGGTGCCTGCTACTTTCAACGTGGCTCTTCCCGCCACATCAACACACCCTGAAGCTGAATAATCCCCACAGCTGTGCTGGGGCTTCTCTTCTAAGTCATTTTGGATCCATCAAGTTGGCAATGAACATCTGCATAAAGGGTAACATGGAGGTCAGTGCCCTAGCCACACCTGACCTCTGACCTGGCCTGCCACACCACACATCCTACAACTCTCGGACCTCCATGAAAGCACACGGCTCAGCCATGCAGCCCAACTCCTCCCAGGGCTTCTGTTCCTTACTTCTCAGCAGCAAAGCTCTGAGGAGGCGGGTTGGGGGTGGCTTGAAGCTCTTTGAATTAGAGGAATGAAGGTGGGAAGGAGGGAATCCAGCTGTCGATCAGGTTTAGGGCAAGGGTCATCTGTTGCTTGTAACCAACAGAGGGCAGGGAAAGAGCCCCGACCCAGGGCACTGCAGCTGGCTGCCTACCAGCTGCTCTCTGGAGCACATCTGGCAGCCTACATGACTTCCCGCCCTGGACTCTGAGCATGTTGCTTGATTAGGAACAGAGACCACTTCCGTGAGTTCCTCCCCCAGCCCCCTCTTCTGCACCTGGTCTGACCCCACTACCTGGCTCTGTCCCTGTCATTGTACCCAGGCCTCCTGCCTTCTGTTGGTGCCATCCAGACACCAGGACCCTAACAAGGCAGAGAGGGATCCCTTGCCAAGGTCCTTTCTGTCACTTTTTATTTCCCACTTCCATTCAGAACCAGAGCCTGAGGTGCCGGGAGTCTAGCTATGGATGTCTTCCTTCTTTCTACCTACATAGGGTTCTGGTGACAGGCTGAGGAGAGGGAAGAGCAGGGAGTAAGGGAAAAACTTGAGAGGGAGTTAGGTGGAGCTGGCTCCTTCATACTTCCTACTACCCAGTCCTGGACACACACTGGCCAGGGCCAACTGTTTGCATCCCTGAGCCCAAGGAGCTGACAGCTGTGATGAGCTTCCTGACCAAGCACCCGGAGCCAGGGCTGGGGGATGCAGCCCTGGTTCTGCCACTGGACAACTGTGTCTTCTCAGTGGAGCTGCAGCTGCCTGGCAAGGCCGCAGCCCTGAGGAGAGGCTCCAGCAGGGCCTTCCTCTCCCATCGGCCCAGGAGGTGCTGGCTGTATTCTTTGGTGCACACTAGCCCAATGTGAGTGAGCTGGTGCTGGAGATGCTGTCTCATCCCTCCTATATGCAAGATGTGGCTGTGGAGCCCCTACTCTATTATCGATGTCCTTTGAGGGTCAGAGTATCTAGATATTGAACATATCTTGAACATGACCCCCAGGAACTCACAAAAATGGAAGGAGAGAATCAACCCCACAAGAGGTGTCCTATGACCTCCACATGCATGCTTTTGCACACACACACACACACACACACACACACACACACACAGTGGAATAATCCTTGTGTACACTATGAAGATGTATCACTCTCATTGTCAATAAAAAGCTGATTGGTCAGGGGCTGGAGAGACGGCTCATTGGTTAAGAGCACTTGACTTCTCTTCCAGAGGTCCTGAGTTCAGTTCCCAGAAACCACATAGTGGCTCACAACCATCTGTAATAGGATCTGACTGCTTCTTTCTGTGTGTGTGAAGACAGAGCATACAAATACTTGAATTAAAAAAGCTGATTGGCCAATAGCATTGGTAGGATTTTTGGGGCACAGGGAATGCTGGGAAGAAGGGGCAGAGTCAGGGAGTCAGGAGAGTCACAAGCCATATGCAGACACAGAAGAAACAACATGGGTAGTTCATAGATGAGCCTCCAGGCAGCACATAGATCAATAGAAATTGGTTAATTTAAGTTATAAGGACTACTTAAAAACAAGTCTAAGCTATCAGCCAAGCATTTATAATTAATAATAGGTGTCTGTATGGTTATTCAGGAACTGGCTGGTGAGACAAAAAAGGGTCTGCCTATACACACACACACACACATATAATAAATGAATGGTAAAATCAGATGATGTAGCCCAGTGTGATGGCTCACACTTGGAATCTCTATTTAGAAAGCTGAGGCAGGAAGATCTTAAGTTTGAGGCTCACTTGAATTTTATAACAAGTTTCAGGCCATCCTGAGCCACATTAGCAGGTTGTGTCAGGGCTGGAGGAATGGCTCGGTGGATAACAGCATTTGCTATTCTTGCAGAAGACCCTCACTTGCTTCCCAGCAGCTACATGTCAACGCACAACAACCACTTGTAACTCTAGTAGGGAAGAATGAGAGACACATGCAGGGCAGGAAGCCAGGCAGCCATCAGCCAGTCAAACATGGAAAAGCAGTGAAAGATATACAGAAGAAAGAAAGGTAATAAGCCCCAAGGCAAAAGGTAGATGAGAAACAGGTTAATTTAAAATAAAAGCGCTAGCCAGAAACATGCCTAAGCTGGACCAATCATTCAAAACTAATAAGTCTCTTTGTCACGATTTGGGATCTGGTTGGTGTCCCAAAAGAAAAAGTCTGGTACGCGTCCTGATGCTGCAGATTCCAGATCTCAGGCCTCCACTGCGGAGGCTCTGCTACCCACTTCCCTCTGCCCGAGAGCTCACTCCCCTTGACTTCTTTCCTTCAGCTCCTTTCTTTTTTCCTTCCTTCTCCATGGGAT